AAAAAAACCTTTTTTTAGACGTTTTCATTATAACGTAGTAATTTTTAATAGCATTTCTTTCCTAATTCTTTTTTCTTGGCTTTTTCTGGTAATTGAAAAACTGAGATGTTCAGCTTTAAAATTTTTTTTCAAAAATTAAGATTGATTTTTATGTTCTCTATTTCGCTTTTCGACATTTTCAAAAATGTTCTTGATTGGCCTTATTTCTTAGAGTTAATTTATGAATACGTTTTTCCTGGAAATATTATTTTGAGCATTGAAATTTTAGTTTCAGTGTTGCTATGCTGCTAAAAGATTTTGCTATTTGGCCCCAAGTGTACGGCGCTCAGTCGATTTTTTTCTTCTTCTTTTTTTTGCCGAATATTTGGTTTTTGATCAAATCACAATTCATTAATACATTCGACCAAATCATATTCGTTGCGTAAATAAAAACGAAGGAAAAATAACTAGGATTTACGATAAAACTGTACCGAAATACCGTATCAAAAAGTGATTATTTAATTGCGCGATTAACAATCACGTGTCGTAATAACATCATAGTTAAATAACGGGATCGTCAAAATCATGTGGAAAAGTATAGAAATAATTGGGAAAAAATATATTTATGCTGAACTCAGCACGAATAAAGCGTGTCAAATGCATGATTTAAAATTTGCATGTCGTAATAGAATAATTGGAATTTTTTATAATACGTGGGAACGCATAGGAATAACTGCCGAGAAGAATTTTTGAAAAAAAAGAAAGAATTGCAAAAAAAAGATAATGAACCGCTTAGATTTAAGATGAAATCGTCGCAAATAAAGTGCTCAAAAAGTGATTATTTAAATTTGCGATCTGAAACTCGCGTCGTAATAAAAATTCGGGATTTTCGAAAACACGTAGAAAAGCGGAAATAACTGTTTAAAAAAATCATTTATATTTACGATAAAATCGGCTTAAAGAAAGCATGTTAAACGTACATTTGCTAAAGATTCTGTTAAAATTTATTGTGTCAAAACGTGATGACTTAAAAGTGCGATTAAAAATTCCCATTTTTTAAAATTTTTTTATTGTGTTTAGAAACTCTCGCGGGCCGCACTTCAGTAGTCGAAGGGCCGCATTTGGCCCACGGGCCGCAGGTTGTGCACCCCTATGTTAGAAGAAAAAATAAATTTTTACTTCAGATTATTTTCCCCTTTTAAATAATTTTATTTATTCTTTTATTTTTCTACTAGAGTAGAAATATTCCCAAAAGTTTTATAATAAAATTTAAATAAAGCGTATTTTTATGCCGCGATGCTAACTGAACACATTTTAGAGAAAAATTCTCCGATCTATCTTCCACCCTTTGTGGTAGATTAAACGTACGATTTCGGAATTAATATTTACTGTAAGAGAATTTTAGTCTTAGCCAAAATTCAATAATTATCAGCTCATCATTTCAAAATTGATTTGAAATGATGTGCTGATAATTTGAAAAAATGATGAACAATTGTACTATTAATTTACCTTTAAACTGCTTTTCGTGTTCATAATCTTTCTTGTTCTTTTGTAGGTACTTCTTTTCTTTAACCAACATTATTTTTAAACCATGTGCACATTAAAAATTTTAAATAATTTGAATTCAAATTCACCAAACGTACAGGTTGATCGAGCTAAGTAATAACTTACTACAGTCAAACCCCGCTATAGTGAACACGGCTTATAGTGAACTCCCGGAAATAGTGAACGAAATGCTCGGTCCCGTGCCTTGCTATACACGTATAATGTTATTTTTAGTGGATATAGTGAACCAAAAAAGTGAGGAAGTTGGATATAATGAACTTTTTTCTGTCCCCCCCCCATTTTCTTTGTAATAATTTTGTCATTTTAAATACATACCGATTTTTTAAACCATCTATAGAAACTACTTTTATGTGTTCGAATGGTAGGTTAGACAGGTTTAAAAAGCGGGATAGCAGAAATTCAGGAAAAATTATCTGAGAGTCGGGAAGTGTTTCCAATCTGATGTTGAGGATTGCTCATCAGCTAAAGATTACTAATTTTTATTTGTACTCAAGACGAAGAGTGATGAAAAATAACACATTTTTTTGCTACTACATAATATTTTTCAGTCATTTATATGAATATAATGTAATAAAAGGGAGGAGTTTGGGAACCATTAGTTAAATTGCCTGCGTAACGGATATAGTGAAATCCCGGTTATAGTGAACTGAATTTTCGGTCCCTTGAAGGTTCACTATAGCGGGGTTTGACTGTACATTCAACAAAGGAGTTCTAAAATTAAGTGTTTTTGTTTTGGTTTAACATATTGATTTTCATATTACCATCTCACACATTCAGTTATAAAATTTGAAATACGAACGTAACCAAAATGAAACTAGTAAAATTCACAGATAACCCTAAAAACAAATTCCCCTAAAATACCCACTGAAGATAAAAAAAATCCCCCTAAATTTAGGGAGAAAACCCCTAATCTGGCAACACTGTGCGTAGTCGTCATAGGTATGTACGTATCCCACAAATGAATATTTTGTTTCAAATTTTTTTTTTAGTTAAAGCTTTTTGATAGAAACGTATAGGATCTTAAAATATTGCAATTCGGAGTATTCATGGGTCTCCCTCCTCAGTCTTGGGAAAATAATCAGTGATCTAAATTCGGTCCACCGATTGAAATCTATATTTAAATTAATTAGTCGAAAACTTTATTTTTCCTTATTTTTCTTTAAAAAATGTAACTTACATTTTCTGCTAAAAATATATAAAATTATTCTTTTTCATAATTATTGCTGTATTATCCTTCTGATGTTTGGAAATGCTATGAAAAGTTATATTAAGATTGTTCATTTAATGAAATTTATTCAATCTAAGAAAATAAATTAATTAATAGTTAGCAAAGATAAGAAATTAATGTGAAATAGAACCGGTGTGGCCGAGTGTCTAACACATTTTTAATAAAAAAGGAATCTTTTTATTTTGTAATAGTAACATCTATAAATTGTTTTGTCTGCAGATTTATTTTACTCAAAAAAGACTAAATTTTTTAAATTCAAAACCATGTTTCAGTCACTGAAATAAAGTTAATTTAAATGCTAAGTTTTGCTTACATTTTCTATTAGACAAATGAAATCAATTAGTCTTAAAAGCGATTGATGAAATGCTAAAAATCGGAAATTGTGTTTTTGACTCTATGTTGATTCGTAAGAATCAATCCTTAGAGCCGGTCATGTGATTCTTCTGTTAATTTGCGGAATTCTGCGAATCAATAATTTAAGTTCCGACAAAAAAAAAATTTAGTTCTGCTAATCTTAAATTTATATTTCGTTACTTACACATACCTGACAAAGCCTCCTCTTTTTTTACTCTTGTATTTTACAACTATCTCCTGTTCACCCCTTTATTCTCAAATTTCTCCATATTTGTTGAAGAAAATTAAAAATGAAATTTTGGCGATAAAATATCTTTTAATGGCAAAAATACTTTTATTATTCCTCAACAGATGGTGCTATTGCTAGTACCGCAGTATGTTGAGTGTTCATGGTTTAAGTGATTATAAATAATGGTTTTTAAAAAATCTTCTTCAGATTAAGATTTATATCCATATTTTTTTTGCTTACATTCCAAACTTCAACAACACAAGAATGAAAAAAAATTCCATAATAACTTCGTCCAGAATTAATGAACTAGTGAGTCAAGCACTAAAGTATAAAATTGATATTCTAAAAAGTAATTCCAAAATAGCAAAAAGTTTTTTTTTTCTCATTGTTTTTAAAACTTATATTTTAACGAATAGCAATTTTGTTGCAAATTCCGATTTGTAATTAAAGAATCATTTATTCAATGACATTTATTTGCGAGCAATTAGAATGAATAAATGTTTAATGTGATCACACAACATGGAAATTTCTAATTGCACATTCAATGCGTGCGATCCCATAACGAATCTGTGTTTCGATCTCTTTTTTTTTCTTCTTTTGCAATTAATGAAAATGGTTTTCTCATAGTTTTTGTCTCAAAATTTGAATCATGCCTTTGAGTAATTACTTTTCAATACGCTTGAGTTGTGCGAATAGCATCATAAGTACTGTGATACTATTACATCCTTGCATTTCTTCAATAATTTTATTGGCTATTAATGCCAAAAATTTTCTCAATGTTTTCTACATTGTTTAAGCATTGTTACGATTTGCAAAAATATATTTGTGCATTTATTTGTCACGTTTTGACCCAAAGACACCATTGTTTTTTTAATGACTTTCTTTTAGTTTATTGCGACAGATATCCATGCATTTTTTAAAACTCATATTATTAATTTTACATTCAATAGTGTATAATTTTACTTTCAATATTATTTAGAAACGAAGAATTTGATTCTAACATTTGAGTAATTACCTTAAGCTGCGTCTGATTATCACTAAATCCGAATTTTCTCTTTTTTCGCAATTAAAGCTGCTGATTTTCAAATTCTTTTTTAAAATCATGACATTAATATGGTATGAGATATTCAAATTGCACATTTAAGTATTTTCTATTGATATTTATGTAATTTTTCAACCAATTATTCGGCAGTTATCACTACTTTTTATTGTATATTTTTTAAGACTTCCATGTCTTAATACGTTATCAAGCATATTGAAAATATCGAGAAAATGTCTGAATTTTGAAACATAAATTTAATTAACCCCGTTTTGACGGTTCTGATTCATTGTAAATACACTTGAATTAATCGTTATTCTTTTTTCAGTTATTCCTATAAATTTGAATTCTTAAAACAAAACTGTTACTTGATCACCTAGGTTTAAAATATAACATAGAATCTAAAAAATAGTAGTAATTGAAATATTTAAGGATATATTTCATATGTTTTGCTTATTATATTTATTTATTTATTATATTTATTTAAACTTATGTTCCAAATATACCTGGTAGATTTCATTAATCATTATTTTTAGGTTTAATGACTTCGGTTAAATTTTTAAAAATAATTTTCAATTCTTTTGTTAATTTTGATACTTATTTATTTGAATGAGAAAAAAAATGCAACATTTTAAAAAATTTACTGTGTAGTAATTTTTGAAAAATTTTCTTTACTGTAAATTTTACTTTGATTGGAATGTGAGATACGTAGAACTGTTTCCTCTGGCTACAAAAAAAAAGCTCTAGAGTAAATTGTACCTCAGTTCTATGTATTCCATCTATTTACTATGATTTCTACTAAAACTGCAGGATATTTGGTTATACGTTTAAACTTTTTAAATGGATGTTAACATCACTTTTTTTTTAGTTTTAATTGAAAAATGAATTTGAAATTTATTTAGAAAAAGAGTTAATTTTAAATTTAAAGAGGAATATAAAATTACATACCTGTCAAGTCTCCTGTTTTTCAACAAAGACTCCTGTATTTTACGTCTATCTCCTGTTTATCTGTACATTCTAAATTTCTCCGTATTTGTTGAATAAATTTTGAAAAAAATTGGCAACAAAACATCCGCTAATGGCAGAAATACCTCTCTTATTCCTCAACAGATGGTACTATTGCCAGTACTACAGTAAGTTGAGTGCTTATAGTTTAAGATATTATAAATAATAATTTTTAAAAAAAATCGACCTTATGGCTAAGATAGTATAAAGAACAAAACGATCAAAGCCCTACCAGATAATTATATAGAGTATTTAACTAAGATATTTAATGATGTCTGTCGTTGAACTTCTTTCCTGAAATATGGAAAACTGCAAATATAATTCTATGTCCTAAACTAAGCAGAGATTTACTATCTCCGCCCAGTTTTCGACCTATAAGTTTGCTTTGCACTCTTGGTAAGATACTAAAAAGAATAGTATACTATAGACTAGGCTCAAACCATTTCTCAGTTGTTTACCAGATGAACAGCATGGATTCAGGGCGAAACTAGATACAACAAAGCAGTTGTTAAGTTTAGTTGATTATGTTGGCAGAGGATTACACTTAAAGCAGACTTCGGCTTTGTTGATGCTTGATATTAGTAAAGCGTTTGATAGAGTTTGGCACAAAGGAATAATTTATAAATTAGTTGAGCTTGAATTCCCAAATAGAATAATAAAATTTGTTTACACTCATTTGGCACAAAGAAACTTTCAGATTAGAATGAAAAACGTATGTTCCACGGTGAGGAGTATAACAGCAGGCGTACCACAAGGTAGCATACTCGGACCAATTTTATATATCCTTTTTACACACGATTTCCCAATCAAACTTGACTGCGTTTTATGCAGATGACGCAGGTGTCATAGTAAGATGAAGTAACCCGAACATGGCTATAGAAGAACTGCAGGGTAAGATATACGATAACGATACTCAAAAGTCCCAACTATTGATAACCCAGAAGAACAGGAAACCAATTAGAGAGCATAATGAACCAGTACTTATGAATCAAGTGATACCAAGAGTAACTAAGGCAACATACTTAGGTCTAGTCATTAACAACAGACGGTCGGATCATGTGAAAAACGTCAAAGATAAAGTCAATTCTGCAACTTTAAAACTGCAATCAATAATGTACAGTGAAAAACTGAGTTTAAAACTGAATAGATTACTTTTCACCTCCATGATTAGACCAATCCATGAACTATGCCTCGCCAGCATGGTGCAACGTTTCAGAAAGTGAGCTTGGGAAACTCACAAGAAGGCAGAACAAGATTTTAAGAAAGATAACTGGCTCTCACTAGTATCAGAGAAATGTAGACATACACACGGACCTAGAGATTGACAGTTTTGATCACCACTTTAACAAACTAAATAGAAACTTTTTAAAGAAAGCGTTAGACTTCAAAGCCGCAAATTTCGACTCAATTTTTTGGTTCGAAAACTTAACTGACGATGAATCCCTGAAGGCAGTAACTCACTTTTTCACAAGTGATTTAACACTGACCATCTGAGTATAAACCAATGGCACGAATATAGTGAATAGTTATTTTATGGCAATATCTCAAAATGTCCTTAATAAATATATACTAAACCATATATCAAATATATATTAGGAAAAAATAGAAAAAGAAATACACGGGCATGTAATTGTAGGAAAGCGTTGACACAAATCAACTTGATTTGTAACAAACCTGACTATGCTTTAGTAAAAGTGAACTGTGAGAATGTTGAGAGAGAAAGTGAATTGTACCTGAGATGTACAACTCAATTTTTGACAAACGTCTTACAAGAAGTGTACTCCGTTTATTCTTTTTATCTACTTATTGTGAAAATGTATCACTTTATGATATCACTCGAGCAAAGTGCTCAATATTAATTCTCTACTTTCATTTTTAGGATACAAGGACCTGGATAGTGATACCACAAGTATCCACCATCACAAGATGAAGGGCCACTCCTGCCTCAGGCACCCCGACCAACCAAATTTTCAAATTTTGGGTAATTTTTACTTAATTTACTAATGTTATAATTGTGCGAAAAGTAATTTATTGTTAAATAATATTAGTTTTTAATTTCTCAGATAATTCCATCTGTAAGGGGGGGGGGTCTTAACCCTCTACGACTAGACAGCTTTTCCTAAAAAAATGTCAAATTTTTTTTTTTTATAAAGAAAAAAGAATGTTATAACCTTTTTTTATTCAGAGCAGTTAGAAACAAAGTATAAGGTAATATCTAAATAACCTCCAAAGTTATAGCAAAAATTCTGAAGACCATTCATGAAAGCAATAAATATCACACCTGTTTTCTAAATAGGAATCGTTTGCAAACTCACTTATTTTTTTCAAAAGTATTTAAAGTTATGTCTTTAAATCGGGTTTTCACAATTCGAGATTTTCAATTTTTCGCACAAGGTTTAAANATCACACCAGTTTTCTAAATAGGAATCGTTTGCAAACTCACTTATTTTTTTCAAAAGTATTTAAAGTTATGTCTTTAAATCGGGTTTTCACAATTCGAGATTTTCAATTTTGCACACAAGGTTTAAACTTGGTAATTAGATTCAGGATAGCATGACGCTTTAAAAGAAAGAAAATGTTTGTTTAAAAAAAAAAAACTTCTTATTTTTCAATTTTTTGGAGCTAGTATGGTTTTTGAAAGATATTTTACTCTCTATTAAAAGTTATTATTAAGATTTTTATGACTTTTTTCATATGCGCAATATGCCACAGTATCTCTTTTATTTTTCCTTTAACTTTTGAGTCTAAGGAAAATTAAATTGTAAAATTTCTTTGTGATGTATCACAAAAGTGTTTGTATTTAAATAATACCTGCGTCTATGTTAGTCTTTAAAAAAACTGGAATCCTGAGTACAATTTTAGATAATTTGTAGCAAGTTAAAAAAAAGTACTAACATGTGTTTTTGGTGAGATTAAAATCATCCTAGACACCTCAAACAAAATTCTCTGTAGACTAAAAATAATATAAGTACACATTTGTCTAGATATAAATGAACTTTTTTTAGGAACATAAGTATAACCCAAATTAAAACACAAAGTAAATTATTATACAGTAAAACCCCGATTTTACGTTTATCGGGGGACTGGGTAAAAAAAACGTAAAATCCGGGAAAACGTAAAATACGGGAAATACTAAGATAGCAAAAAATCATATAATAATAATGGGAAAATAAAACAAACTAAAAGTAGTAAGGATGACTCTTTCAAAAGGTACTATTAAAATCTATATTTTACGAAAAGAATATTAGTATTTGAAGAAAAAAACATACCAGTTCAAGATCACTTTTACAATCTTTTCTTTCAAGATCACTTTTTTCTGCTTTCATAGATTTACTTTCAACAACGTGGATGAGCTTAAAAAAAGCAAACATAGAAAAAATATTGCTTATTAAAACATTTTTTTATTTTTTTTCTTTCTACAAAAAAAGTAAAATGCGTGAAATTCCGTAAATTAAAAACTTGCAATCCGGGTAAAATTAACATTGGAGGTATACGGAAAAACTGGGTCCTGATGAAAAAAACGTAAAATGCGGGAAAAACGTAAAATCGAGGTTTCACTGTAATAGATTATACAGGGTGGCCACCCACCTGGAAAACCTTGAAAACCTGGAATTATCAGGGAATTTTTTTATACTGGAAAAAACCTGGAAAAATCAGGGAATTTTAAAGAAAAGCTGGAAATTTTTTTCTTAGACATTTTTTTAATTTCACTAATTTAAATTATTTACTAATTTTCTTAATTTAAATTATTTCATCCATTATACCCGCATTTTTTAGACGGAAATGCGTCTCCAAACAGTTAAAATGTTATCAACTTAGCTATACTTTGCTTGCATCAAAATTTGCTCTATTATAACCCTGTTAAACTAGAATGCCACATGAAATTCTCCCATAGTTGCTAAACAAATGTAGAAATCTTTGATCTCTATGGAAACTATGCAACTGCGCAATTTAGGAAACGCAAAGATTGTGCTGGATGTGGAAGAAGGGGTTAGGATAGTTGTTTCTATTTTTAAATTCTGCCCGGGGGCAAACTTGAGCCATTTATGGCTCAAGTTTGTTTCGATGCTTTAGTGGTAATTTTTTCTATTTTGACAAAATGAGTCAAAATATTTTTGCATTTTTAACTTTATAAAAATATCCGAAAATTAGTTGGGTATAATTAATAATAGATTTTATATTGCACTCTTTCTCTGAAAGCTTTTGTACTCCCATTCAAAGAAATCTGTAAATTATTTTTTTTCACCAAACCAACAAATCAGTTTTTTTACAATTGCTAACATCAATGTTTGTCTACAAATTGTTGCATTAATGCTAATTTTTTCTATTTCATTTTTACNTTCCTTTACTTAATGAAAATACATTAAACAATACTTAAACAAGGTCTTATTGGTCATTCTGTTTTTACCATTTTGTAGGTACACTTTGAGCAAATACTACTTAAAGTAAAACATTAAAAAAATTTTATTCAATAAAAGCAATATATCCTGCAAGCTAAGCATATTATTTTCTCCACGTGTCTTAATTTTTTAAAAATTAATGTTGCACCAAAACATTAAAAAACAAAATCTTGTCCAAAAAAAATTTTTTTTTTCAAGATATGTTAAAAAAATGACTTTTTGAATAAAATATTTTATAATAACGACATTTTTCTTGTACACGTCCTACACTTTATAAGCAAAAAACACGGACCTGGAAATTTTAAAATTTTTACCTGGAAAACCTGGAAATATCAGGGAAATTTGAAATCTGATTTGAGTGGCCACCCTGTTAAAAGAGTTTAAAATTCCATTTAAAACTAAAATAAATAATATAAAAATAGTAATTTTATAAAAAAAAATTAATCGTTAAATATTTTACTTTTGCATTATTTATTGGTTTGTGGCAAACAATTATATTAGTCACTTTTAGTTTCTTCCATTTCTGCCAGTTTTTCCACATTCTTCCTGTCAAAATCCCAATCCTGGTAATAATTATATAGTATTAAAAAAATATAAGAAATTTTCAAACCACATGAAAAAGCTTACAACTGCTGAAAAAACTATCAAAATATCACTTGCATTTACGATGAAATCGACACAAATGAAACAACATATCAAAAAGTGATTATTTAAATCCGTGATTCAAATTTCGAAGTGATCGAAAAACAACACTGATTAATATTGGGAGTGTCAAAATCTTAAATGAGCATTTCATATATATATATACAGTCAGACCTCTATTCAACAAAGTCTCTAAATCCCGATAATAAGTTCGTTATATGGAAAATTCTTTAAATAGAAAATCCCCTTCTGAAATACTTAAACAACGCAAACCAGGTTTTAAATTTATAAACACTGGAATAAAATTAAAATAGCAATGAATACACTTTTATCTTGTAAATTGTATCTACTATTTATTTTACAAATCTTTACCATAAAAGAAATTTGCATGGAAAGCAAGAATAGAGCAAAACATTATCCAGTACATGATGCATACATTTTCAACTTAAAAAAAGCTAACTTTATTTATAAAGTATAATTGCGATTATTATAAAAGTAATTTTAATCAAGCATTAGCACATGCGTTCTTATGTTTAATTGCTACTGATAAATTCCTTTAATTTTGTCTGAGTTTTTCGTTTGAAATGCAAACAAAAAGAGAAAAGGATTTTACTGTTTTCTGTAAAAGTCAAGTGGCTCCGAAAATCAATTTAAGGTTATTTCCTCCATAAAATGCGTGTACAAGATTGAAATGTTCTGAAATAGGGAAAGTGAATCTCAAAGAAAAGTTCGTTAAATAGAAATTTCACTTTCTTGTTTGGAAGTTAGTTTGCGAAGAAATTTCCAAAATGTTCTCTTTTCCTCGAAAAAAATCGCTAAATGGAAGTTTGTTAAATAGAAGTCCGACAGTATATCTTATTTTTATAGAAAAAAACCTTAAATTAGAAAAAGAGCAATTTTTTGAAAAGAAACTAAAATTATCACGGGTACGGAATCTTTTTACTGCTTTCTATTTTTATTATTTTCTGTTCAACATTGTAAATCATATTGGGACATTTCCTGATAATAAATTATACTATAATAATATCTTTTGAATTGTGTAGGAAAGTTGGTAAAAAATTTTAACTTTTTTTATCAACATCATCTTTTTTTTGAAAGAGCAGCTTCCTTAAAGTTAGCGGTGTAATACGTTAAAATGTGAAAATAAAATTGTAGTTTAAATTTGGTCATTTAAACGAATAAGAAACAATAAATATAAACTATTTGTTTGTTAATTTTTCAAGAAAAATAGTGCACTGTAATGATATTAGTCTTACTTTTTGAACAGAGTAATTTTAAGATAGCAAATGGGTCGACAAGGTTACTTAAATAGAAAAGAAAAAAGATAGAAAACTTGACAAACATTAGAATGAATGTTGAATTTGATGAAAATGGAAACTAAAGTACTAACAAAAATAAAATAAAGTAGAGTAGCATATTATCAAAAAATTCCATAGTTGCTTAAAGAATGAAAAATGCTGAAATATAACAAATTAATTCTTTTAACAGTTTTGCCAAAACACGCATGGTTATATACTTAAAAATTTTGAAATCAAGACGTATAGGACGATATATCGAATTCTGAGATATTTTAGACTTAAACTGAGATATTTAAAACTTTAAAAAAAAATAAACACAATTTTCTAAAACAAGCAAAAATTTACTGTGGTATACAGTTAGCTGCAGACACGGGCATTTAAACAAATGGGCGTGGCTAAAACAAAAACCTCCTTATCTTCGTCAATTTTTCTCCGATTCAAAAAGTGCTTGCTTTAAAATGTTCTGGTGAATTATTAAATAAAAAAAACATAAAAGTAAAAAATCTATTTTTTAACGAATTTTCGTTTTTTTGAAAGTTAACTTGTCGCCTTAAAACAAAACACTCCATCAGTTAACCATAGTTCATGTTACGAGAGTTTGATTCAAGAAGATATAAAAATAAATTTTGCTAAACTACTAT